CCCCCCCCGAGAGTTCCGTTCGCTTGACTCATCGTGCCCGGAACCCTCGAGTCGTTCCTAAGAAATGGCCGTCGGCAGGCTCGCGTAGGAGCGCGAGCTACAGACGGAAACTCGCGGAATTAATTCGCAGAGCTAGAATCTCGGAGAGTCCGTGAATCTACCGCGATGATCTCTCCATCGTTCCCTCTACCTCTCCTCCTATCTCTCTCTCTCTCTCTCTCTCTCTCTTCTCCGAACGTGGAGTTAATTCACAGAACATTGTCGTGCGCGCGTCTTCCCATCACGATCTGCGCGCCGCGCACTCTCTTGTTCGAACCCTCCCCTGAACGGGGGTAGGGTCGGGGTAGCGCGCGCCCCGCGAGAAGAGGAGGTGGTTTGCGATAAGCTCGGCCTCTCGACGAGAGAGAATGTCAAGGCGACGACGAGGCCACTCCGGCGAATAAAACGGATAGGCGTGTGTGGCGTCGGTCGGCGTCGGTTGGGTGTCATCATCGTTACTGAGGTGTCTGCGGCGATTGTGCCGGTGACTGCTGCTGTTGTGGTTGCTGTTGCTGTGGTGATTGCGGCTGCGGCTGCTGCTCTTGCTGGCTAGACGGCGAGCCGCTCGCCTGTGGCTGCTGCTGGCTGCTGGACTGCGAAGGGGTGCCGCCCTGGGAGGTGGCACTGCCGTCTCTTCGGGATCGGGAAGCACCTTCCTGGCTGCTACCGCGACCAGCACGCGAGCCAGCAGCGCCGCTTCCGCCGGGAGCGCCCGACTGCAAGACCATAGCTCGGATTCTTCTCTGGGCCGACTGCAAGAGAGAACGAAATGGTTAATCGTGGGCTGTCTTCTGCAGTCGATATAGGTACAACGAAAATAGGATTTGATAGAAATAACCAAGATCTGGTTAAATGCTTCCAACCACATTGTTTGGTTACTGCAACCGAATCACTTAGTACCGTATATTGTATACAAGACTGGTTGAACGAATGGTGGCGGTGGATGAGCCGAATACGTTTTTGGGAAAAGAATTTCCGGTTCTAAGAACCGAATTTAGTCCGTAAGAACTAGAAATTCTGTTCCCTTCGACGAAAATGCATTTGGTTCATTCCTTCCTCTCGGTGTATGGGTATTCGTGTTTAACGCGTGAGGGAGATTTACTCCGTTAGAGTTAGCTAGCTAGTTCACCTGAACGCTGAAGAAGGGGCCAATGATATGGACGGTGGTCTCCTCGTCAGCTGAGGGAGGAGTGGCCTGCTGCTCCGACAGTTTAATGACGCTCCCAGTCACACGTTGCAACTCCCGGACGTTCTGACCGCCTTTACCAATGATTCTCCCAACCTGTGCACTGGGCACGAGAATTTCGATGGTCAATCTCACGTCCTCGGTGCCGGAGACGTATCCTTCCTCGCGCATCTTCTCGAAGATCAAGTACTGGGCCTGAGGACACGGTTTTCGACAATGTCAGGAAGCCGCTGAGTATCGCGAGTAAAAGGATAAAGAAGAGGGAGAGAAAAAAAAAAGAATGTCGGAGGGTCAAACGGGGCCGATTCACAACGTTGTTGTGTGTGTGATCGGTACGGGGCCCTTCTTTGATATACCTGCTGATATCAAAGTAGATGCATACGAGCACAGCATCCACCCAAATGTAAGCAGGATAAAAGGCAGTCTAAGAACAAAGGTGCGAGGCACGAGGAGAAGACTGACGTCACGAGGTATTTCCCAAAGGCGCGCGTGACCAGTACTCGGCTGGATTCGAACTCGCGATCTTTCGGATGGTGGGACGACGCGATACCTGCCTGCCAACGCGGTATCGAAAGTACGTGCACGCGTTAAGGCTCTTGGTCCGCGCTGTAGTCTGCTAGGTCGATTACGTCAGAAGCGAGATAACGCGTGTCTAAAAACTTTCTTGCGAAATACATCGAGGTAAAAAGATATATCCACAAAATGACAACCGTGGTCCGACCGGGCAGACCTGTAAAATAGTCCGAAAACTTTACTTTCGCTCGGGCAATCGATAAATCAACGTAAGATGCAACTGATGTTTTTAACTTATCATTCACGATTTTGTCACATTAATTTTACCGGCTATTATTTACGGATTGTTAGAGCAAAAGTGAAGTTTTCAGATTATTTCGCAGATTGCAAGTGTCACTTCGTGGATATATATTTGTTTACAACGTGTATATTCCGCGCGGGAATTTCGGGCATACGTTTTCTCGCCCCTGACGTCATTAATTAAGGCGGCTGCAGCGAGAAAACAGGAGCCTCGAAGCGTCTCCATCCAGACAGTCATATCGATGGAAATCTTTTCTGCCTTTTTCCACTGTATCGAAGAAAGCGAAATCAAGGTGGAAACCAACACGGTACGGTAAATTTATTTATGCGCTCTCCTCGAAAATGTACTCCGTTCTTAGATTCCTGTTAGAATATAACAAAGAGGTAGTTTTTATCCGCATTAAAATTTCTCACGTTGAACTTGAGAATTCTCGCGTGCGAATCTGAAAGATCGCGTAAGCATAAGAAGTGGATATATACGAGTTGCGGATAAGCAGAGGAGACCGAAGGGTCGCGGAAGTGACGTCCGATATCGCTTACCTTCCATTGAGACTCCGGTGATCCCACAATAGTGACCTTTCTCTCGGTCTGCTGCTCGGCCGGTTTGTCTTGCTCGAGGGGCGCGATTTTCACGCTAGCGCCGGAGAACCTGATGATGTTGCGTATGTGCGAGCCCTTCGTGCCGATAATGGCGCCGACACTGTTGTTAGGAATGTAAAGAAAGGTTGTTTCCTGGGTGTCACTGGAGGGTACCCCTCCCTGTTGTGTCTGAAGACTGCTTTGATAGGGATAAGGAGCCGGGCCAGAGCCGTAGAGACCCGGCCCACGGGAACTATAGCCCATACCAGCAGTAGACATCATAGCCATGGGATGAAGACCAGGGAACATCATGCTTTGCGGCTGGTGAGAATAACGAGATAGTCGTTAACTTCGCCGTTTCCTCCTTGCATTCATCTTGCATCGAACACATTTAACTACTCTGACTTCCGATATTAAAGGTCTTGCTTCCGGTGAGCTCCGAATACATCCCTCGGAACTGAACTCTTCAGCTTCAAGTGTCAATTATAAGCCATTGGAATTCACGCGTTTATAATTCAGATACACGTCTGACTGTGCATTGACTGCTGATTATTCTAAAATTATTTCACCATTCTTATTTATTTATTTATTTACTTTCACTCACTTCTCCATATATTTTTATGCTATACTCTCTGTCTTCCTAAATTGATCTACCGAATTTAAGAATAGAGAATATTATTATGCATTCATATATAATCACATTACATATTCATGTATCATATATCACCATGCATTATACATTCAGAAATTGACTTGCCATTATAATGATCCTACTTTGATAATGCACGTTCGAGTTTTTCCTCTGGCAAGGATTATTATTATTATTGTTACTTCGAGGTTATTGAATACATTTTGCAAATCTATACGAATTCCAAGGGCTTAAGCGTAACACTGAATTCGAAAGAAAGGGAATAATATGTGCGGTGAGACTTACAGCCATAGCTTGCAGGTCGTTCTCATAACTTTGACGCAGTTTGCTGGAGATCATGGACTCGGCCTTGCTCATGTTCTCGATCGTGCCCTTAACCGTGATTATACGCTCCAGATTAAAGCTGTTAATGTCGTTGATGCTGCTGACAGTGATTTTCGTGTCAGTGTCCTGCATGATTCTCTTGATCGTGTTTCCACCCTTGCCGATAATCCGTCCAATGAGATTGTTATGCGCCAAGATTTTCAAGGTAATTTCACTGCGGGGGAAGTGACAAGACGATTTAATTAGCACCGAAATAACCGGAATTCGGTCCGACGATATTTTCAACCGGAGATAAATCATCAAACAAGACTCGACTCGATCAAGCCGGAGATTTTCGGTTCGCCCGCTTTGTACAGGGTAACACTTTATTATTTACCTGCAAACCCCTTCGATCTGATCAATCTAGAATCTCTAGTACAGAACTCTCGTGCTTCACGCGACAGTCTCGATCTACTGTTACGGAGTATACCAATCGGTCACGTCGGAATCATATCGACTATCGCGGCAGATTCGACCTGTCATCGCTCGGTAAACAACCACCCGCGGTAAATTCAATTCTCAGCCATACCCCTTGTTCGTGTTGTTCGCCTCCTGCTGCATCACCTCCAAAATCTTCTTACAAGCGTTGGTGCAGTTGTCCGGGTTGCCGTAAATGGTGATGGCTTTCTCCAGAGAGCCGACGTTGTCTTTGCGATGCACATCGACTCGGGCGCGTGACACTTGGGTGATCTGTCGTATGGTGGAGCCTTGACGACCAATGATCGCACCAACCATATCTGATTGGACGAGAATACGTAAGGGAAAATCGGTCTGCCGACCGGAGCCCGGCAAACCGGAGAAGGCGACGCCGCTGCTGCGTTGGCTGCGGCCCCTTCGCCGGCTCTCCGCCGATGACATCTCCACTTTCAACGTGTGTCCTTCGTAATTGTATCCATTCAACTGACTCAAGGCTCTGCGAATCGAAATCATCCGGATTAGGAGGTCGGCTGATCTTCCGATCAATGCGTCAATGTGTTTTATCGTCGTGACGGAGCTACCGTTCCGTTAAGTGACCATTTTCTCGCACACACACGACGAAACCGCGCGCATCGGCCGCTCGGGGAAGAAACAATCGGATATCGCGAGATCGACTCGATCGAATAATTAGCATTCGAATGTTCCGCTTGTCGATTCGACGTGAATCGTCGAATTGCCCTCTCGAAATTTCTCAGAGTAAAACCGAGTCACCTGGACTCTCGCGCGCGACCTCCCGCTAATCTACAAAGTGAATTATCCGCTCTGCATCGTCGAATGAAGATCTTTCACTCGAGACCGAAGAGCGAATCTAACTGGAACATATTCGGCCCAAGCTTGAGCGAAACGCTCGCTCTTGCGATTTCGAGTGGTTGAAATCACGAGAACCGATCTCGGGCGTTGAACGTCGCGCGAATTCGACGTGCGCGCGCGATTTCTCGGATAAAAGCGCCGCCAGAGGCGACGAGCGTCGCGCGCGAGAGGCATCAACCTCGCCGCGCGCGCGTCGCGAATAATTAATCACCTTGAGCGATCGATCGATCTCGCGCGCGCGGCAACTCGCGCGGCTGATACTACTCACTGTTGTGCTTGGTCTTGCGTCTCATAGCTGACGATGACTGTCTGCGTGTTGGTGTCCCGCGTCGGCACTTTCTCGATATGCTGTACCTGGCCGTAGTTGGAGAAAAACTGATCGAGATCCTCCAATCGGGTCTGGGGCGGTAGATTGCTCACCACGGTCTTGGCGGTGCCGCTGCTGCTGAAAACAGAAAAGTTACGGCCGAGATCAGGCGAGCCGTTTCGGCTGAGCCGCTTGTAAGAAGAGAACATTAGAAAGTAACGGGCGATATATTTTATAGCGAGCGCTTGCTCGCTCGCTTGCTCGCTTGCGCAACCGCTAATTAAACGGTCCGGTTATGTCATATTGTCATATTGTGTAAAACACGATATCTCGATCGAGGAGTTAATTATACGACGTTATACAACTTTAGTATTAATATTGATGCCGCTTTTGTGTAATCCGTGTCTCCTCTCTCTCTCTCTCTCTCGCGGTGTGCGTGCGGTACATGTGAAGCGCGTGTGGCCAAGGCAGAAATGTAACCGTGCGGTGTGACATGTTGTTATTATTATATCGCGTGAATTTCCAAATATTTATCCGATATTGAAATGCACGAGAGCACACCATCACGATTCGATCGTACAACACTCTTAAGATAGATGTTAATACCTAGTGCACTCATCGGATTCGTTGTTTCCATTCATTCTGCCGTCTAGAGTCGGTTAGTCCGCGAGAGAAGTAGTGACCGTAAGCGAAGAGACTGGCCCGTGTAAGTGCCAGACACCGGGCGTGACTCCCAGATTGACAGGATTACGCGGCAGTGGGGTCGACAAGATCCCAGCCATAATCGCTAATAAACTTTGAAAGCCGAGCCGTAACCTAGCGAGAAGTCGTCCGGTGTTTACATCGGCTCGCGATGTTGTCATTTAGCAACTCGACCGGGTATGTTCGCCGACGCGCCGAAAAATATTATTGTGATTATATATTATTCTTATTATTATTATCATCACTGTATATTGCGTTAAATATTTACATTGTTAACTTAGTATTAATAGTAATATCTTTTTATCACTATTATAATCATTACGTCATAATTATTTTAGTTACGACGAATGTCTTTCTAAATACGCCGCTTATTGTTTATCATTTATTATTATTACAAGTTATTTCTAAGATTTAAGATTCGACGATTAACGTCCTCGATCGAATCGGGGTCGAGGATGTTGATTGTTGAATCTTAACCGATTCGTTCGGCAGATTTATCAGACTGACTCGTGATTGCTGCAATCGAAAGTGCGAGGTGAGACAGGCGGGATTTGTCGCGTGAGATGAAAATGACGACTGGAGTGTTCCAGAAACAGTGCAATTTTGTATCCGAAATTGTACATACAATATATTGTAATTAGGACATCAAATGTGAATCTTTGAAATAAGGCTCGGAAGAAAAAAAACTTCTGTATCGAACCATAAAGAATGAAAGCACAGCTGTTACATGGCGACAAATAAATTGAGCAACTTATTAATGCATAATTAATGTATATGTATAAATTGATATTAACGTTATAAGTAAATGTACACCGAACATGATATAAATATACGTAGTATATGTGTATATATGTATATAATATAAGCGTATATATTCGGTGTACATTTATTTGTAACATTAATTTAAATACAACTTGTCCAACTTATTTACAGTACTACGTAACGGCTGTGCTTCGGTTCTAAACGGAGCTTTTGGAATCATTGAATTGCAAAATCGAATTTGAAGAAGTCAGACGTTTCTCGGCATCCGAGATCAAGCATTTGTAACGCCAACAACGCGGCGCGCTGCCGTAAGGAACTGACGAAGAGGATGTCACTAGCGATCTTTGGTGGCGCCGAAGCAACGACATTCTCGGCGCTCGGGATTCGTCTCAGGTTGCACAGGAGGGAAGACCGACGCCGGCTCTGTTCTCGTTCCGGCCGACGCTGCGCACTTTGTTCGGGGCTGCACGAGCGTGAATTGCACACGCCGCACATCTCGGCGCGACGACATGAATGAACCAAACGGCAAGTAAGAAGAGGACGCGCGGCGTGAAGAACAAAAAGGAGGGTGGAACGACCGAGGGAACTCGACTCTCACTTTCGTACGTATCGATTTTTCAACGGGCCGACCCACTCTCATCGCCGCGGCGGTGCTTTCGAGCAACCTTGAAGAAGACGCGGCGAACGACCCACAGGACGAACCAGGCAACCACCCACCCACACACACCGACCCCGCGACGGGGTCTCAGCATAAAGCCGGCGCAAGCTTTCGCGAAATAACGCTCGATCGACTCCGGCGCAGCCGAGATTTCCCGAGAATTTCCTCCTCCTCTCTCTCTCCCTCTCTCTCCAGCCGATCGGAAATTGGATAGGCGAAAAAACAACGCCGGTCTGAGCTAGTTTAAGGTTCTCACCGGGTGGCACGAAGCACCGTGTTTGCGAAAACTCCACGTTGGAGGAACGATGAGTTTTCACCGGGATGCTCTTCAGCTGCCCCGATAAAGCGTGGCTTTCGATTGAGATTCTCCAAATGATTGATAAGGCGTGCATCGCGAAGGACCGTATCGTTTTTTTTTCCGGAACTAAAGCAACTGGAAGCGAGTGCGATTCCGACAACGCCGGTCTGTGTTCCACTGCTTATCGAGCTTTCCGTGTATCATAAAAATAACTCACGCCGAGAGCGAAATGTGCACGGCGCACGCGAGACGCATCGCCGGTCGCGATGCACTTACGTGCAACGACGAGCGTCATTCCGTATTTATGACGATTTACGTATTGAACAGAACACACACAACTGCGGCATCGTGAATTTATTTAACCGGCTAGTTGACGGTCGATAACGCCGCGATATCGACCTCGGCTCGGATAACATAACATAATCGAATTTCGTCTCCAGGATAAGGTCCTTTCGGACGCGCCTAATCAGAGATCTCCGAAATTCCGGAGGAAACGCTCTCGTTATTGGCGCTTATAAATCGTGTGCCCTCTTTTATGTGTATAATTTTTCATGGGAAGTTACATTAAATGTTCAGATTTCATAGAGAAATCGCGATATAAGTCTTACTTTCTGAACTTCTCGGTGGAGAATCTCACTCGAAATTGAAGAGCGAATCTTATTGCACACCGTGGCAACATATTCACTTCAATCGATTGACACCGTTCGATTCGTTCATACGGAATCGAAATCCCCCCAAGCTTGAATGAAACATTCACTCCTGCGACTTCGAGTGGCGATACTTTCATTATCGCTTCGAGTACAGCTACCGCCGCTTTCCGCTCGTTTTGAGTTCCATCATAAGATTCCATTATAAGAAACTCAGAAGGTAGACTAATAGATGTAAGGTATTTTAAGATTTGATGTAAAATCCAACTGGAAAAGTGACGAAAATTTAGAGGATAGATTAAGGGTGGTTTAAGAACTGACGTAAAATCCCATCGTGAAATTGATGTTATAACTCCGCGAAGGGTCCAATAAATCTCATTAATTACTCAGACTTCGTGATGACGAATGGGACACGTAGCCCGGAAGGGTTGCACGGTTCCGCGTTTCGTTCCCGTGCGGTCCGACTCACTTATTCCCCTTAATTGCGAGACGCGCTCGGTGAAACAACACTCCCTGTTGAATCTCGACTGGACCCGGGGACTGCCACGGAGCAGAGAGGTGCGTTCTCCTTAGCAACACCCCTGGATTTATCACACCGTGGTAAATCTCGTCGGAGCTGAGATCGCGACTAAGCGGAATATCCGCGAAATATCCGGGAAAAAGGAAGGACAAGTGTACGTTCGCAAAATTCACGGATAAAGAAGAGGAAGCGAGCGAGAGAGAGAGAGAGAGAGATGAAGGGGGAGGCGGAGACAAAGATGCATTAAACGCGCGAGCGTTCGTGCACGCGAGGAGGCCGGGAGGGATGATATGACGGGCAGCGGACAAAAGAGAGGGCGGGAGGGGGGCGGAGGAGGGACGGCCTTTGTTTCGCGTACTTCGCTTTAGGGGATTTTCGGCGGCATCCGTGGTATATAGCGCGAGGTGCGTGCAAGGCCGCGCCGTCTGCTTCGTGCTGCTGGTCCCCGCAATCTACCCGTTCGCTCTCCTCCCTCCTTCGCCCTCCCATCCCCTTCAACCCTTTCGCACGCACGTGTGACTCGCCCGGCGATTTCGTCGGGTCACCTTTAACGAAAGGCGGCGGGTTTTCGCGAGGCTGGAGGGGGCGGAAGAGGGACGGACGGAGAGAGGGGTCGTGAGGAGGGAGGAGTGGGCGAGAGAGACAGAGAAAGAGAGGGAGAGCCTTTGCGGGCAGGGATGGACCGCGGCGGGTCACCCCCGTGGAAGAGCTTTTGATGTCCCGGCCTAAGACACCTTTTTTCGGACACTCTTTTTCTTCCTTCTGCCATTCACCTCCCCCCCCTACCCCCTCGTGCTTTTTTGCCGATTAACGAGCCGCTGGAGCGAGCACGATGGCCATAGATAGAGAGGGGAGAGGAGTGGGCGGGTGGATTGAAAACGCGGGCGGGTCGACCGAAAATTTCGACGGTGATGTGTCGATGATGCGATGCGATCTACGAGGAGCGATCTGTGGGGGACTCCCGCCCGGAAAAACGCCGCGGGTCGCGTCGAGCGGATGTCGGGCGCGCGCCCGAGTGTCATCGACCGGATCGTTCTCTTACCTGTATCGAGTTTAATGGCGCGAACTGCAGCACGCACGTGGCGCGCGCGCGCGCGCCCGTTTGGTCTACTACAAATATAGATAGAAAGCAAATTTGGTGTCACAAATGGCCCACCCGAATTTTTGTGTTACTTTAACAAGATGAATATATTAACTTAACATATTTGTGCACTTCTTAATCTTTCCCACGTTAGAGTAATATAAGAATTTCGGTAGACCGTTTGTAACGCAACATTTTTTACCATGTAAATATAAATGTGTGGGTATTTGTGGATCCCACGAGCGACCAGTCTGGAATATAGTTAAAAAATTGCGGGAACAACTATTTCTCAATTTTTCCGCAGATTTCTTCGGTTCCTGTCCCGAAGGTACCCAGATTCGTTTAGAGAAATTCACGTCTGTTTGGTTAAAACCAAGCACAAGAAACGAAAAAATCACTGGAGAATGAGGTAAAACAGTTTTTCCCGGAATTGTAAAATTATAGTCCGGAATCTTTCCCATCCCGCGATA